CGCCGCGCGGGGGAGGTGCTCGCTTGCCCCGGCCCGGCCCGCAGGGGGCGCTGCGCCAGCTGGAGGGCCCTGAGGGGCGGGGCCGGGCGGCAGGTGCTCTGCTGCCTCGCGCGCGGGATTTGGCCTAGGATAGGTTTGTGGTAGTCAGGGATTGGCCCAGGAATCATCCAGGATTGGCCCCAGGACACTCCGGGGTTGAGGATTGGTTCTTAGGTAGTCCAGGATTGAGGATTGGGCCTGGGATTGACTCTAGGGCTGACCCCGGGTAGTCCAGGATTAGCTCTGGCACAGTTGGGGATTGTTTTTGGAGTCCAAGATTATCCCCAGGTAGTCCAGAATTAAGGATTGACCCTGGATTGGCGTGGTTCTGGGGAAGTCCAGGACCAGAGTCATCCCTTTGGGGATGGGGGGTGAATTGGGGCAACTGCCGCAGGCTCCATGCTTTGGGGGGGCCCCCGTGAGCAGTGCTGTACAGGCCCCACAGGCAGTGCCATTGGCACATGGTGAGGCCACCACCACTCCATGCAGCCACCACGTGCCACTAGGTCTGCGCTCTAGCCTCTTGCCACGTCCCACCCCACCCCTGCACAGGCGGATATGCCCCAGGCTCCGCACACCCTTAGGGTCTGCTCTGTCAGGGCCTGTCCCCAGGTAGTGTAGGACTGGCCCTGGCACAGTCTGGAATTCACCCTAGCACACTCTGGGATTGGCCCCAGGGTAGTCCAGGATTGAGGACTGTCTGGGACAATCCAGGATTGGCTCTGGGGTAGCTCAGCAAGAAGACTTTCAGAAAAAAATTTGAAATCCTTCCCCCCCCCTCCCCAGTTCTGTCAAGACAGTGGCTTGCTCAATAGCTTTAAAATGAATCCCTTCCGAGGGAGTCTCTAAATGAGTAAGCCTGGGCAGATGTGCAAGCTTGCTTGCTGGCAAGTTACTTTTTTAAATGTGTTCAAGTGAGGCAGATGAGACCACTGGGGATAGAGGGGGAAACGATGGAGTTCTCCTGCTGTTTCTGGGCACTGCTTGCAGCTCAGGATCCTGAACTAGGGACAGTTCAGAGGGATATCACAACAGTAGAAAAGCTCAAGATCGTGTAACATCCACTTCTACACCACCCAGTTTCCAGTGACCTCAGGCTCATGAGTCAGCATTTCACATTTACAGTAATAACTTTGCAAGGAAGGAAGTCTGCCACAAAGGAGAGTTGAGAGAGAGAGTTCACCTGCAAATGCAGCTAACCTTATGATACAAAACACAAGAATAAAAAAGGAAAGCTTATAAACCAAAGGTTTCGAACTTCACACGTACAAATCAGTCTCTCTTAGGACTACTTGTTTTCAAATCTAATTTAGACATGGATTTGCACTTGCATTATTATCAGGTCAGTATTTGTTTCCAAAGTTGAAGGTGCTGCAATAATAAGCATACTAATTCACTGCTAAGTATTTTTCATTTTTTAAACAGATGATCTTGTGGTCTACATTGTATTGTACACCAGTACAAATTGTATGCCAGTTGTGGTATACAATTGCAACCTGTGATTTCAAACCAATGTGAGTGCATAGTTTGTTTATATCACACCCTTCCCATTTGTATCAGGAAGCAGTTTACAAAATAATAGTATGAAAAGCAATTTGACATGTTGGAATGTAACATTTCCTCAACATATATTTCATCCATCTGATCCTTTTAAAATTAGTTGAATCCTTCATTTATGGTAACTCTCCCTCAAGTATTCACATCCTATATATAGAATTGATTTTTAATTAACGAGAGTAAGATTGTTTTACAGACTCAATTGCCAGTTACTGATTTAAGGAGTATTCACAGCCTGGTTAAAATTCTGGTCTCATTAACACAAGTCAGTGGAGTTAATTTTGATTTACACTGGAGTTGAATAAGAACAGAATTTGGCCTGAGGGCTCAACTGTATGTTTATATAGATGGGCAAGCATTGCTGCATAGTTAATTTTACAGAACAGACACTAGGGCAAACTTACATATCTTAAAAAGATCAAAGCTTAGATCTTCTTAATGCAGATATCCTTAGCATACACTTCAGAATAATTTTGTCTTGGTGAATATTAGGATTAAGCTAAAGGAGTGTATTGGCTTTTGCGAACTCTTGTAGTTTGAACATAAGATGGCAGAGATGAGGTAACTCGATTATGGTATGAAAGCAGTTCTATTAATTAACCCAATCGTGGTGAAAGATCCTCATCGTTGGATGCTCAGTGCATCCTCCCATACATTTTGATGGCCATCACCCCTTAAAATGAGAATAAGCATTTTGGAGGAATTCTCGTAGTGTAAATTTAATATGGCTTTGACCTGGCCTCTATTTTTGGATGTACAGCTGGATATATGGCTATATAAACATATACATATACATGTACATACACATACCTGGTAGATGCAAAAATACAGTATTTGTTTCTGCATAGTTATCATATGCAAATATCACATGCAAATTATGTAAAAATAGACTTTTTTAAATTAGCCCAATTTTTTCTGGGTTTTATATTTAAATATGTAATTATGTAATTATGTATTTATACAATGATTTTTTTATTTAGGTTACTTAACTGAAGGACTAAATCTTCTAGACACTTTTCCAATACAAATGATAATGAAGGCATAAAGTGTGTGTCTGAGGAAGAGAAAGAGCAGGAAAAAAACAAAGGAGAGGAAATGTAGAAAAAGATGAAAGGTCACTGATGAGTGACTAAGGAAAAAAATCTATTCTGAGACTTTGAAAAATAAGAGTGGGTTAAATTTCTGAAGAAGTTTGGCAGATAATTCAATTCATGAAGAAATGAAAACACATTACACTTTATGCACTTAGGGAACATTTAAGGATCATTTTTGAAAACAAGTATTGAAAACAAGGAATAAAGATGTTGTTTTGATGGTACCAGAATGATGTGGGCACAAACATCTGCAAATATTCTTTTTAGCTTACCAAATACAGCTCAAATCAGGTCTTGAGTTTTTGGTTACAAATTAAAGCTTTATATTTTAAAATTTTTTGATAATGATATATATAAACCTGATATAGAAGATCCGTTGGATCTTGTGACTACTTAAAAGTGCCAGTGTAAACTTCAGAAAAAATAATTAAAATGTTATCAGGATATTTTACTGGTAAATTCTGTTCCATGGTATTTTATGTTTAACAGTGTGCTGTTTATTAAAGAGTAACAGGTTTTTCATGGTATCTGCAAAATAATTAAGTACTTTTTCTTTGAAATAGTTAAGAGCAGAATAAAAATTGAAAGGAGTCCACAGCATTTTCCTGAATGTAGATGTACAGGCTTGGAATCATAGATATTATTTGCCTAGATTCTAAATGTATGTATATTATGGTTATATTTATAAAGTGTGAAAAATACATAAATATAGGAACAAATATAGGAACAACATTTCTGTTGGCAACTGAATCCAAAAGACAGCATGCCCAGTTTTCCTCCGATATAATGACAATGAAGAAATGAATAACTATAGAATAAGAGCAGCAACTACAGTAACGGAGGCCTAATCCATACAAACATTTACTGTAAGCATGCATGTAGCATTATTGCTTGTGTTGTCATATCCCACCACAGCCCTGTTAATGATCAGGGTCCATTGTGTAATCATACAACAAAAAGATGATTCTTTGTTCAAAGAACTGGTCATCCCATTGACCTTTCCTTAAAATTACTATATTTACCCTAATCAAAGATGACATTGAATTTAAGACAACCCCCCAATAAATAGCTTCTATACATGGAAAATTTATCAATATGTTATAATTTTCAATGTATATAATCTGAATTTGCAGTGTTGTCTCAAATTTGTGCCCCCCACCACTGCTGCCGGGCAAGCAGCTGCAGCAACACGGGAACTTATTGGCAGTAAGGGAGTCAAGCAGCTGGCTCCTGCTGTCTGGCCCTCTCATCATTTGATCTCCTTGCAGCCTGTATCCCCCCTGTCTCTGGTGCCTGTGTACCCTGGACCCAGCCCCCTTCCCACAATGCCTGCCTCCTCCCTACCACTTGACCCTCCTATCCCTCTGTAGTACCTGCCCTTGCTCTTGCCTGCCCCACACAACATCTGCTTACCCTGCTGCCTTCAACCCCATGGCCTGCCCTCTCCTGCATCTGCCTCTACTCTCCATCCCACTTGCCACTGCCATTAACCATCTGCAGTTCCAACACTGCTCTGGCTTGTGGCATGGAATATAAAGTCTCTCTGACCCCTGCTGAGCCATGCCAAAGTGGTTATAGTGGCCACAGTTCCAACCCCAGCCTGGGGGTATGTGGTTGGACTTTGTGCTCTGGGCTAGAGCAGGCTGAGGCTGGAGGGTAAGTGGTGGCAGAGGCTGCAGGGGCCAGGCATCTGCAGCAGCTCTGACTCCAAACCTAAATTGGGGCCAGAGTTGGAACTGCAGCTTCAGCTGTCTCAAATCCAAAATGAGGGGCTTTTCCCCTCCTGTGTTAAATGGGAAAGTGGGTGGGTAGGTGAGACGGACCTTATCTTGGATTGAAGAAAGTATGGCAATTGTGCAGAACTATTTGCCAAACTGGGAGGTTAGCAGTGCTTTTTTGATACTCAGATGTTCTGTATTTTTCTAAGCCAGTCAAATATGTTGGATACTCCTTATTTTCTTATGTTAACTCCTTATTTGGGGTTTGAAATATGATTTTTCCCCTTCAATATCATGTGAATTATGCACAAATGTGGATGGATGAGTGTGAAGCTGCTGACTGATGGCTTTGGCATTGCTTCATATTTTTTCAGAATTTTCTGCAAAAGTGTTTGATATTCAAAATGGAGGAAAAGGGAACTTGTAAAGGTGATATTCTATTTTCAGTTACACTTGTGTACAAGGTAATGTCTCTGCTTTAAATTGTTATGCTGGTATTGCACCATTATAATTATAACTTTCTCAAAAATTAGCTTTTGTTTGTAGGAAATCAGTG